CTGGCCACAGCATGTGTGTTCTCTTTATCATTTGCGACTTCGTGGCAATAATTCCTCTTATTACCAACACGAGCTGTTTTTGTTGCTTTGTAAGTAAATATCTTCATTCTAACTTTTTGTTGATATACAAAGGTTTCTGTCATGCATTGTTAAGTGTTTAGCAAATGTTATGATCACATGCACACACATACATTTGTTATTTAAGTTAGAAAATCCAAACGTACTTAAAAGCTAGTAACTCAAGAGTATTTCATAAATTATGGTTGGGCAAATCAAAGATCAATAACAGGACAATAAGGAACAGTCCTAGTTCTACAGTGAAATGTTAGCATTTAATGTTATTTAAATGTATTCCCAAATGGTGTTTTCAGAGTGTTCTTTTTCTGCGTTTTACATAGAAAACCTCCCACAAGGAGCAGAGTATTTAGAAGTTTGCTGAGTCTTACGTGTTTGGAATTAAAGTGTACTTTTTTATTCAACATTAAATAGAATCCTCTCCCTGCCCCATCTCTACCTCCGCCTCCCCACTCCCCAAAATAAATAAAGCCAAGTCTTCTCAGTGCAAGTCAGTCCACTCCTGGGAATGAAGGGACAGGAGGATCGTGTGATGAATTGCTGGCGCTTATGTGAATCCAATGCACTTTTTTTAAAAAACTGGACTTAAGCTGCCTGTATTTAAATGCTTCTTTTGTAAAGATGATAAAGAGAGCAAAGATTTCTATTGGCTTAGCCTTAATCTGTTTGCTTTGTTGTGATTTTTTTCTTTAACTGTTAACCTATTTATAAATCTAAATCTACATACAGAGGTCATTGGTTGGCTGAACTTAAACCATTTTACTCAGTAAATTTAATTAAGAAAATACAGTGCAACTCATAAGCAAATGAGTTTTCTCCTAGTTTTAAACCGAACCACCCTCTTGAGTGCTGATTGCCTTGCCCGACCCCTGGTGATACAGAAACAGGCAAAATTAAAAAGGACATTAAAGCTTCATTAAATCTGAAACACATTTAGTACAGTGACATATCTGCAGGCCGTTTCAGGGAAGATTGCATACTCTCTTTTGTAAGTTTCCTAATTTATAATACCTTGACAATAAAAACCAGGGAAATGCAAGTAGATTAATAGACCAGTAGGGGTAAAAGACACAGAGGGGCCCCCCGCTCACCTGTCTCTGAAACACTGGGTCACAGCGAGTGTGTGGCCTCCTCCCCACGAGGGTCCGGTGCTCGTTTCGACTTTCGACAGCCTCTTGCAGAACCTGCTCTTCATGAAATCATATCTAAGAGCAGTTTTCCTTTTTCACCTTCTCCTAATTGAACTTGATAAAAGGGTTGTGGGGCCTGGCTACAGATTTCCTTCTCTTTGCCACAAGACAAATAGTGTGGCACCTAAACACGGTGGATGCGTTACACCTGGAAGGACAGGGACAGACATGGAAGGCAGCTCCCTCTCCTAGGGCCTTAAAACGACTGCTCTTGGTGCCAGCCTAATTGCGCCGCTGCCGGTTTGCACTGGTGCAGAGCTGGACTCCTTGAACTGCACTGGAGCAGCCCGGTGGTGACACTATGAGAGAGGGAAGTATTGTGGTGCTGCTTTGGTAAAGGTCAAGGAACCATTCTCTGTCCTCTGGCCCAAAAGAAGTTAGACCTGCGAGATATCTTAGAGAAGTTCTCCAAGGACTGTGGTTGACAAGTAGGACTGAGATTCCATAGGAGGTCAGGAAAGTGTACACAAATCAAAGCCAGTCCCAAAAAGGATGAATTCGGTAGTTCAATCAAGTGCAGCCACCTGTTCCCAAGCAACCTAGTTCTGGGCAGCTCCCAGCTGACCAGCCTGCACTGAGTTTTCTCTGTGTTCTCCTGCATGGTGGTGCCTCACACAGCAAACACATGACATCAGCCATCCTTATTACTTCGTACCAGTCCTGATAGAGGGGCCCAAGTAGATGAGGGCATGTTCACACGTCAGCCGCAGCCTGGCCTCGCTATGGAACTGTAATGACTTGAGAATATGAAGCTTTGTGTTGAAATGGGGAAAATTCACATTTTTCCCCATATTCTACTCTTTTTGTTAAGCCCTCTGTTTATTATTGCTTAGTTCTGTAAACTATAAGAACCGATGCCAGTTCAGCACCTGCCACCTAGTTTAGACCTTAACTGTATATGTGGCAGGCACATTTCTTCTGCCAGCAATTCCTATGAGCGGGGTTCTCCCGTAGAGCCTCATGACACTGTTCAGCATGTCCCCAAGTGAATGGCACAGCATCCATAGGAAGGCTTGGGATAGAAGGTTCCAAGTGTTTTCCCATAGTTAGGAAGCTGTCAGCTTGTTAAATGAGAGACACTTCTCTTGGTGGTGTTCTAACTCCAAAGGCAGGAGTATGCAAAACTTGTGACTTGCATCTCAGTGTGATGGTAGGTGCCAGCTCATTAAGAGCTGTCATTGCCTGTCAGTTCAGTACAAACTGGCTCAAATGCCCAGTCCACCGGTCACCACCACGGCAGACGGCAGCGGCTCCTTCTGAACCATTGTGCACGCTCGCATTAGCCAGGAACACATTGTGTTTACAAAGTAAAGTAAATCAACGGCCTGTTTTATGGGGGTGCAGTAGGGGCTGTGGAGAACTGAGTCCCTCCCCTTCCTAATTAATAACAGTAATAAACAAAAAACATATTCACACAAAACTAAAAGGAGTTTGATTAACATTCATATTTTCTTTCCTTCACCCAATTTTGTGATATTTTTGTTATTTATACTTGAAGGGAATAATGATATCCACCAACTGAAATAATATAACTTTATATCTTCGAAGCCAAAGAACTCTGAATATACAAAAAATGAGTACAAGGTAATAAAACTTATCAGGTAGTCCATATATATGTATATATACATCCAAATGAGTATTGGCCCTTTCAAAGTAGTCACCTTATATGTTATATGGTTCATTCCTATCACATTGCTGTTGCTCAGACTGGTTTTAGAACTTTGAAAATTAATCTCAGCCCCTTTGTGTCTATCCATAGATGGGAACAAACTATTTTTATTCTTTGAAAGTGGAGTTGGGTGCACCCCTGTGTTCATTGCAGCATTATTTATAATAGCCAAGATTTGGAAACAGCCCAAGTGTTCATCAGTAGATGAGTGCATAAAAAAACTGTGCTGCATTTACACAGTGGAATACCACTTGGCCATAAAAAAGAAGGAAATCTTTTTGCAACCGCACAGATGGGCCCAGAGAGTATTATGCTAAGTGAAATAAGCCAGTCAGAGAAAGATAAGTACCACCCTAATGATTGCACTTATGTGTAGACTCTAATGAGCAAAGTAAACAAAATAGGTACTGACTTTATAGATAGAGAACCGACAGCTATCAGAGGGGAGAGAGATGGGGGGGCTGGTGGAAAAGGTGAAGGGAAAGACCTCATAGATACAGACAACAGTATGGTGATTACCAGAGGGAAAGGTGGCTGGGTGGAGGTAGAAGAGGGTAAAGGGGGGAATAAATGGTGATGGAGCGAGACTTGATCTGGGGTGGCAGACACACAATACAACATACAGATGATATATTATAGAACTGTACACCCAAAACCTACATAATTTTGTTAACCAGTGTCACCTCAATAAATTAAATAAAAAAATTTTTTTGAAAGTGGAATTGGGTTTTGGTAATACCCATAAGCTATTCAGACTTTTGTCAACAAATAATTTACAGAACCAAAAAGATGAGGGGTATAATTTTTCTTGGGATAGTCCAAGATATGATGCTATTGTAATAAAATGAGGTAGGGTTCCCCTGTTAAATGATTCTAAACATAATTCCAAAAGGAGAAGCTCAAAAATGTTTAGTAGCATCAGTATCTTTGAAATAAATATACAATTCCTCAAGATCTATAAAAGCAATGTAATATGCTGGAAAGAACACTAGATTAAGTTGCAAAGCTTGGGGTCAGTCCCTTGGCTTCTACTGATGAACTGTGTGCCAACTTCTTCAGTGGAACTCTGGGGTTCTAATCTATGAAATGGGTTGATGCTCTCTTGGATCCATTGCAGCTTCCAAGTCCCCTGATGTAGCAATTCTACTTTGAAAGGAGCTACAAATACATATAAAGGGTTTCAGGCGTGAGGATGGGCCACATTATACAGCTGCAAAATTTTGCCACTATTTTCTTTAAGTACGACGTAGTATGTTTGGTAAATCCGATCTTGTTACTTTATATCAATCCTGTTCCTGGTTGAATCATTTTGTTTTTACAGGTGAGGATCCAAAGACCAAAATTAAGTGACTAGCCTAGAAACACATAGCAGTTTACAGATCAAGCAAAATTGGAAGCACTAAGGATTCGCTTTCACAATTTCAGACTCTAACCTGTAGTTCTGACTTCAGTCTCAAAATGACCATTTTCCCATTTGTAGTGGCTTTTTTTCTTCTAACCGTAGATAGAAAATGGGTGAAAAAACTAACAAATAGTTGGAAATAATGGCAAATTTCTTTTATTTGTTGTTCAAGTACAGTTTTCTGTCTTTTACTCCCCAGCCCACCCCCCCAGGTAATGGCAAAATTTTTTATATCATGTATTTAATTTCCCATTTCCTAGAACCCTTCCTATCTGTTTACTTGATTGAAGGCGTTTCCATTTTACAAAGAGAAAAGCCAGCAGCCTCCTTCTGTAGTTTTACATCTCTGTGTAGAAGAAATTGTCACACGTGTAAACGTGAATAACGCCCAGATAGCTGAGGATATTCCTAAGAGAAACCACATAAGGGTGATGTTTAGTGGTTAAAATTAGAATGTATTATTGGAGATGTAACATTGTCCATTGAAAACATTCATTCTAAATACTACTCAGTGTAATTACAGTAATAATTTAGCTTGTGTATTTGAGGTTGTGAGCTCTTTATGTTTGCCGGATGCAATTCTGAAATTTAGTACTTGTCTGTCTTAAGGAGATCTGCCCTGCATGCAAATCTGTAACTAGACAAATATTATTTCCTTTCCCAGCTTGCTCTTGGGAGGTTTCCATATCCTCAGGTAAGATTGTTCATTACTGCCGTTTGCCACTGTGACATTCATTCCTATGTATGAAGGTGCAGGGAGCAATTGTGAACATTTGAGCCACATACAAATAAATCTGTCCTGTTAAATTGAAAAGTGATATCTTAAAGGAGTCATTTAGAAGTCTCTATTGATTTTTGATTTTTTTTAAACTCCCGATTTTTTTTCCCCTTTGTTAAAGGCTGAAAGCCCTCCTCGTGCTCCTCCTTTGTGTGACATTGGTGGTGTTTTCACTTCTCCTAACCCTGTTCCATGTGCTCATATTGAGATTGGGAGAGGGGCATAGCCTTTTCTTCATACACTGTTTGAGCTTTTACATTCACTAAAATTATTTGAATTAAAGGATTGAGATGAAGGGTAAGCATATCTAAATAGGTGATTATTTTTGCTAAACAAATAAACAGGCCCCAAGTTTCATGGGGGTATGATTTTGAAAAAATTTGTCCCTTCCTCTCCACATATCTAAGAAAACAAACTATCCAATTGCTGATAACCTTTATAATTTCTTTAAGATTTTTATTATAGATGAGTGCTAGCACTTAAAATATAAAGCTATTTTGTGGTTTGGAAATGATTCCCCAGTGTGTGTGGAGAAATAAGTGAAATGTCTGGAGGGATGAAAAATGAGCGGTTTGACTGTTTTCCTCTGGTTGATGCTCACTGTTTTTCTGGCATCATGGTCTGTCCAGGCCAGAGTGCCTGGAGGCATGTCTGATTTAAAGGTGGTGTTGGTCTCTGCTCTTTAAGCATCTATTAACTTGCTATTATTATGCAAATAAGTATTGTATTACACATACTAATTTATGCATGGTTAGATTATGCAGATGAATCACAAACATGGTTATTGAATAATAGGATGGGATTCATTCTGTCTACCATCTTTTTAAGCGATTTTAAGCAAATTCTCTTGGTATCCATGTGGACATATAAAGACCCTTCACTCGCTGAAATGTCTGTTTTGTATCCTTTTTCTTCTACAGTTAAAGCCATCAGATAAGTAAAAGAAAAATTGTCCAGGTTGTTGGGTTCAAGGGTGTTTAGTCTCACTTCTCAAATTTGTAGGCTTCTTTGTTTAAACATATTCTTTTCCTTAAAGAGACCGTCCACACCGCAGTGGTTGCTTGGCGTGCATGCTAGTGTTTCAGTGGGGGGGCTTCAGTGTGTGTAGCCTGACTGCTTAGCTCTAGGTAGCCCATCAAATTAAAATCACATTTTCAGGATTTATAGCTCATTAGAATATTTATCTCGGTAAGCCTCTTATTCTGTCAGTAATTTTTAAACAATTCACTGTTTGGCCAATATGTGAAATTCCCTAAAATTCAGTAAATCAACAGAAGAGGCCATACATACTATATCTTTCAAACAAGTCATAGTAGAAAACTCCCAAGCCATCTAATAAAAATGCCAAAGACTGAGAATATAGCTGTATTGTCGAGGTTCCCAATTAGCAGCGAGACTGGGTAAGTGACGAGTCTAAGAAACAGACTGCCGCTGCACGTGACGCGTGGAACATGTGCACACTGGGAGGGTTTGGGAAGAGGCTGTGCACCTTTGCTGTGTTACCTTCTTGAATGTCTAAGGAAGTATGTGTTTACTTATCAGTCAAGGAGAAGGTGGAAAATCATGGCACTGAATTTCTTAGTTAGCAATAACCTTTATGCCCAGAGTGTGTGGGGGGGTGGGAGGGCAGCGGTTGGGGGGGGACTGTGGTCCTTGAATCACAATAAAATATTGTCACCAAATTGGGATTTTTACTTCAAATAATAGAAGCAGCTTTTATGCCATCAGGCCTATTTCCCAGATTTTTCAACAGAAGTTTGTGTGTTTCATTGCTAGAATCAATAATGGCTTCTGGTAGAGTTGGCATTTATTTTACAGGCTTTGTACTATAGACTGAAGATTGGGAAAGAGTACTTTATGAATTCCTTTCTCAACCCCTCTCTTTTGCCCTCAGATAAAGCATTTGAAGGAAAGCATTCATTTTTATAGTGTTACAGAGACTGGACTATGAAGTAATACCTTCTCTGTGGCCCATATTACCTAATTTGAACCCCCAGCCACCCCAAGAGATAGCCTCCCCTCATAAATCAGGCAAACAGAATGGCCAGTGGCATCAAACTCTCACTAAACTGCGGAGAGTTTGGTACCACTGAATCCCAAATGGAGTAGTCCGGGGTGAATAGTAGACTCTCGAGATTGGGAGAGACCTCAGGCATATCTGAAAAGCAAACATCCACACTATGCTTGAACACCTCCAGTGATAGGAAACTCAGTACTTTCCAAAGCAGCCATAGAGTCAAAGCAGCATTCTATTTCTTGAGCTGGGGACTGCCTCATCCCATTGGTTGCCCTTTTCTATCTGATAAAAGGAAGTATGCAAATTAAATGAGATGGATATAAAACCACTCCGGGAAGAACATAGGGCCACCCACTGGTCTTGATGTTGGGCTGAGCACAAAACAATTTCTAATCATCAACCAAGGGTTGCAGAAGGATGTGTTCAGCAACCTGCCAGCTGCAGTTGGAGCTGAGTGTCAAATGAGCAGAGGTGAAGGTGGGGAGGAGAGGCTAGCTTCACGACTCTTCCTCCCCGAGCCCAGCGTCAGTGCTGCTGACAGTGTCATTAGCAGCGCTTCTTCCTGCCCGTGACACAGTGTATATACCCAGTGGGGACACAGCTAAGGCCCCAGGGAGGGTGTTGGAAAGATATCAAGGAGAGTCAGTGGCCTGGGACCAACATAAGGGTTAAAGGACTGGATTTTTGTTGAAATAATCATTCTATATGAATTTCATTGTTTTGTGGGTTGAGTTTTTATTTGGCATTTGAAAAGTATTATATATCTTAGTTTCCTTTAGGCCTTAAAGTTGCATAACCTCATTGGCATGCAGATTAGAACCCTGTAGAAAAAAAATGGTATAAAGAGCCACTAAAAATTCAGTCTTGTTAAATTAAACTAGGAAGAACAATGTCTTTGATCCACCCAACACCATTCCGATATTGAGCTCCAGAGCTCTTTCTGTGATCTGACTGGCTGCACACACAGGGCCTGTTGTTCCCAGACTTCAGGCGAGCAGACTGAGGCTCCGAGAGGCAACACGCATAGTCTCAGTGATGAATGGGTACCTACAGCTAGGCCTAGGGTTTGCTAGCAACCGAAGCAAACGGCTGTCTCTGTGTACTCTGGTTGGTTGTTCGTACCACTATTCTTCCCCTCAGCCCCACCAAGCCTTTCACGTCTCTTGTTTGCCTTCTCTGCCCTAGGGAGGCCTCTTGTGTAGATGAGAAATGCTGAACATCGGGGGCTTGTGCCATTGTAGATGATGACAAGACCATTCCCTAGAGCCCTTTTGCTTTTCTTACCATGTGTTTAGCAGAGTGACAGAAGGGTCCGGAGGGCCTCTGAGTGCTAACTGACCCCAGTGCCATTAAATTCTGGGTGCCTGTGAAACATACTCTGCAGTAGGATAATGGAAAATTGTGTTTTCAAACATCTTGCAACTAGATGTATCTCAATTTCTTGAGCAATTTAGCTATAATAGTAATCTGGTAAGATGTGCAGGTCTGGACAGGCACTGGAGCTGTGTGTAGTTAGTTAATCGTGTTGATCCAGATTCAGCTGACTTAAAAAACATCATGGTGGGCAATGGTTTGTTTAATGACACCATAATTTAGGAGAAACGAAAAAGATTGTATGCTAAAAATCATCTTTCATTCAAACTTTACAGTAGTTCCCTGCATTAATATGCTAGTAAATCCATTAAGGAAACTTCTCAGGAAATGCGCCAGCTCTGGCATTTGGAAATTTGGTGAGCACGGTGCCACAGGAAAGTGAAGATAATACAGATACAAATGTATTTAAAGTACTTTTGCAAGTACAAAATGTTGTTCTTCTTTTGGCCATATTTCCTGATCTTGGTTAATAAATTATATCAAAATGACCTGAAGTTAAAAAAAGGAAAAAAATCTGAGCAAATAGTGCCCCTGGTATTGTAAAGCTTTGAATGTTTTCACACCCCATTAATTTATTACTTCTCTTTCTTCATCTTTAAATTTCATTTTTTTTTTTCAAAAATTCCGACTTCCCGCTGCTGCAGTGATTTTCATCTTGTTGTTAATTTTCCCTGCTCCATATGGAGCTCCAGACATTTCACCTGGAGGCTGTACTAGATTTTGCTGTAGTGATCGTACTTCCGGAGGCCAAACTGTCATTTAGGGTTCCTGGTGCATCTGTCTGTGCCAGGCTTTTCACTGGCATGGGAGAGTGTGAATAACAAATTGGATGCACCTGAGATTCAGATGATTAGTGTGTTTTGTGAATCTCCACGACTTGTAAGCAGATAGCTCTGGGGGGGTTGTGGGAGGGCTAAACAGCAACTGTGGGTGAATCTGTACTCACACCTTACATTTGGGGCTTTGCAAGGGAAGTGGAGACATCCCAGGCTGTCTGAGTGCGGGGAGAGTAACAAATATTTCATCCTGCCTTGTCATTGATTAGAAAAGAGCCTTTAATTTCATTTCACCCCATGTTGTGATTAATTTGCATTCTTTGTCAGAAGTTAATGGAGTTTTTTATGGTTCACTCTGAAATCCTTGAAGACATCAGACTTGATCTGATGTTTATACAACCGCCAGCGGAATTTTTTCATTTGATTGATGGCAAGCTTGATGTTATTCCAAACGGCTTTTTAAGCTGTTTTTAAGAATTATTTGAATAAAATGCAAGCAAGATATTGTTGTAAGATCAAGATTATCTGTTAAAAATCTGTTTCAAATAAAGGAGATAAGTAGTAAAAAGGATCAAAAACATAAGAGATATAGTGAATAGTGATGTTATTTGTTAAAAATACATTAAGGATGGCATTCAGATAAATTGTTGTGATATGTACATATCACTTTTATTGAAAAATATACCATCATCTGGGCAAATAGAATGACTAAAGCTAAGGTAAAAGGTAAGTCTCCATGTTTAGGATTA